CCTCTAAAACTAGAGGAATTTTCTTCATGAATCTGAAAGCAACAGCTTCATGAACTTCTTAAGTTTTTAGTTTTTTGTTTGTTTGTTTATTTATGTATTTTTGGGGGGTTTAGAATACTGTATTTTGTTCATAGCTATCGTACTTCTATGGCAATCTATAATTAAAGCTTTGAAATATATCATGGTTACAATCATTATGCAGTTTTGACCCGTTTTGACATCGAATTGTGAGATTCATAACTGCTTGGATAATTCAACAGTTCTATTGTGCTCAGTTTCTCGAATAGAGAAACTTAGAAAAGAGATTTTTGTTGGCTAAACAAAAAAACAAAGTAAAATTTGCTGCATCTATTAAAACCTTCGTAATCAGAAGGAAAGAGACACTTTCGTTTGAATTTCATTACAAGTCAATGTTTTAAAAACTAGACCAGATCAACACCAACAAAGCATCGTCATTAGATGGTTGAATTTTGTGAATTTAAAGATTTGATATCAAACTAAAATTTTTGTAAAATTGGGTTTTGATATCAAACTAAGTCAATGGTTATAGCAGTTCTAAGCCGGTTTTAACCTATGTTGCATTGAAACTCCGACCAAGGTCTGTTTTCTGTTTGGGAAGGTCGGTCTTGTTGAACTATATTTTGAAACTTTATTTTAGATCTCTATTTATCATAGAAATGAACTATCTTTTTTATATAAAACAATTTTAGACTTTTGAATACGTTTTGGATTTTACTGATTTAGTTTGGCTTTTAAAACACATTTATTATGTGCTTGCTTTTCTTTTTAGAAGATAGTTATTATTTAATATTAGGGTTGAGTCCGTACTTCGCGCGGATTTTATTTTATGTTTGTGTTTTTATATGTTTGATATATTATTTTTTTTTAAACACAATATGTTCTCTTAGTTATCATTATTAGTGTTTCTATATAATCTTTTAATTATTGTTTTTATTAACTTCTATTAATATTTCTATGTATATATATATATTTCTAATAACTTCTAAATTTACGATCCACGTGTTGCGCAAAATTTTATTTTTTATACACTTAATTCATCATATTTGTTTTTTTAATTTTTTTATCACACTCATTCTTCATTTTTATATTATCATAGTTTATTAGTTTTATTTTTGTTCTCCTTTCTGATTTTCAACATTTTTATTCTTGTATTTTTTGAAATTCCTCTTTATCAGCTTTGTGTTCTTCTTTCTCATTTTTTTTACCTTTCTTTTTTCTTCATCTTTTTTGACTTCTATTTTATTTTATTTTGTCTTTCAGTTTTTCTTCATCTTCTTTTTCTGATTTTAGTTTATCTTTTATTTTTAATTATCTCGTATATGTATTCTTCCTCGTCTATTTCGTCTTCATCTGTGTATTTTTTTATATTTTGGTTTTTTCTTCTTCTTCTTATTTTTTCTTATTATTTTCATCTTTTTTATGTTTCATCATCGGTTTTTTCCTTTTCTTTATCTATTTCTACTTATTTTTTCCAGGTTACTTCTTTTTTTTTTCTTGATAAAAAATAATAATTATAAAAATGGATAAATTAATTAATTCATTAATTTTAGTACTAATGTTTTTTTTTATTTTTTTTAAATAATACTATTTTAAAAATGTGTGAATTAATTGAATCATTAATTTTATTTTTTTCTAGTCTCTTTTCTTATCTTCAACGTTTTTATCAAAGTATTTTCAAAATTGCTTTTCATCAGTTTTGTGCTCTTCTTCTTTCTATCTTTTATCTTTTTTTTTCATCGTCTTCTTCATTATCTTCGACTTCTACTTTTTTTTAAAAAAAATTTAAGTTTTTTTTTATTTTGCGTCTCTTATTTTTACTGTATTCTTTTTTTTTAACTTCGTATTCATCTGTGTCGTCTTAATTATATTTTGATTTTTCATCTTTCTCCTTCCTTTTTTGTTTTTTATCGTCTTTTGGACTTTTCTTATCATCGTTTTTTTCCTAATTTTTTTTTAGTTTTTACTATTATTTTTCTTAATAAAAATATAAGAATTATAAATAGTATATAATAATTAAATCATTAATTTTAATAGTAGTATTAGTGTCTTTTAATGAAATTAATAGTTATTAATGTGTATGAATTAATTGAGTTATTAAATTTAGTTTTCATTTTTAGTGCTGATGTGGACATCCTAGATGGAGAGAAAACTCTCTAATTATATAATAGATTAGATCATATATGTCTCATAGATGTTAGCATGTATCCTAAATTTTATTAGTCTATTTGCTCTGTTCATTATTTGACATCGTATTACTAGATGGTCAATTCGTTATTTTTTTAATAGTTTAGATGGTTTAGTGAAGTGTGACGATCAATCAATATATCAAAGTCAAAATTTGTGCACAATAATTTTTTTTCTTTTTGACTTTGAAATTCTACTTGAACTCTATAGATTTTTCATTGAACCTATGAATATTGAATATATTGATAAATTCAATATCAAATGAAAATTTGATGTTTCTAATATGGTTTGGGCTCGAACAATTACACATAACATAGCACTTTGGGTAAAAATCACCACTAAAACTATAGTTAGAATGTGTTAGGTCTTATAACACTTTGCTTTCTTCTTCATCTTGAACAATCAAGAATAAGAAGCATATATTAGTTGTAGTTGGATTCTGCGCTGTTGGATTCTGTGTTGTTGGATTCTGTGCCGTTGGCTTCTGTGCCGAGGCTAGAAAAAGAATATGCTCGGTTTGAAGATGACCATACGTTTATCTGTACAAGATATTCAAGAATCATTGAACCTGTGTATCAAGAACTTGAAGCTATTGAAATTTTTTGTGGATTATCAGAAGAAGTATTGTGCATTCTAAGAGATGATGCAGAAATATCTATCCATGAAGATGGTGATGAACTTGACAAAGTTGTGACCTTGGTTGTGTGAGCCAAAACTCGCACAATCAAAACTTGTAAAGAAACTAAGAGAGATCCGAAATCTCTAGGATTTTCTTGTAAGAACACAAAATCAAAGGAAGATTTTATTGCTGTGAAAATTTCCTTAAATTCGCATGCGGCCACCGTCTCGACCTTTTACTTAGGGTTAGATATCTCGAGAGAATATGCTTCATTCTTCACGGCTAGGCCCATCCATTGTTTACCATCCTCCGACACGGCCCATCAATGAGTTCGGCCCAACTTGATTCCTCGAAGATCACCTTGGCCCAATATCGAGGTTCAGGATCAGCGCACACATCTTCCAGCACGGCTCAGCCCATATAGTGTTTGACTAGGCTCGGGCCTCACGTAATGGGCCACAGCTTGTACTTGTCCTTTGATCCGGCTGGGCCATCTTAGACAAATTTCCATTGGGCTTGGTTTTATCGACGATAAATGGGTTTAACAAAGCCCATTTTAAATATTTAACCATTTTCAGGAGTTGGATTCGAAAGGGTGGAATCCGATCCCAACATGGATGAAGAGAGGGTACTGGATAACTGATACTGACTAGGACATGAAATTCATTGATTTGGAGTTTGGAGAGGAATGCATTTCTCAAAAGAATTTGAGATTCCATGTCTAAGATGTGTTTGAGGATATGTATGAAGATAATGTGTCTGATGAGAATATGCATGTTCACTCTGATGCAATGGCTGCAGAAAATAACACACTGCGTTGTTGCCTCTCAGAGCTAGAAGAAGTACTCCGGGCACTGTGTCTTCAGAATGATGCAATAAAAGAAACATCCATACCAGCAGAAAACCAAAACATCCATATCCCATCCTCTTTTAGAATGTATGATACTTCTTTTGATAATCCACAAGATTTTTTAATAGGTTCAAGCTTTTGATACACAGGTTGAATGGTTTTTGAATACCTTGCACAGATAAACGTATGGTCGTATTTAACCCGAGCATATTCTTTTTCTAGCCTCAGCAGAGAAGCTAACAGCCACATTTATCAAGATTTCAAACATTATGATCCTAAATTTTATGTATTATTCATGTATTATTCTATTTGCTTTGTTCATTATTTGACATCGTATTACTGGAGGGTCAATTTCGTTTTTTTATAGTTTAGATGGTTTAGTAAAGTGTGACGATCAATCAATATATCAAAGTTAAAATTTGTGCACAATAGTTTTTTTTTCTTTTAAACTTTTAAATTCTACTTGAACTCTATGGATTTTTTGTTGAACCTATGAATATTGACTACATTGATAAATTTAATACCAAATGAAAATTTGATGTTTCTAATATGGTTTGGCCTCGAACAATTACACATAACATAACACTTTGAGTAAAAATCACCACTAAAACTATAGTTAGAATGTGTTAGGTCTTATAACACTTTGCTTTCTTCTTCATCTTGAACACAATCTTCAAGAATAAGAAGCATTAGTTGTGGTTGGATTTACTGTCTGCAGTTCTTCAAGCTCTTATCTGAGTCTCAAAGTCTAGCCTAGCTATCTTCTTTCTCTAATACATCAAAGTGTATTTGAGGTTCTAAATTTTATTATAAAATCTTTACTTTATATAAGAATTTCATTTCGAATTTCATTTCATTTCATCTTACAGATGTTATATTTTAAACTTTACAATCAACTCATTTTCAATTTTCATTTCTTATTCAAACGAACTATATTTCTAATATAAGAATTACATAACAGTATGCACAACACACGAAATCCAGTGATTCTAAAATCCGATCATTATTCCCACAACTATATTATATGGAAAACTCATCAATATATGGTCTAAACTCATTTTGTCAAAAACACATTCCAATATCATCTTCTGCTAATCAATTTTTTTTATAGATAATATATATTATAAGTTTATCTAGGTAATTTTTGAAATGATAACTAGATTACTTTAATTTCACGTTTCATGAAAGGTGTTGTCGATCTGTTATTTTGTTGAAAAATAGTGTCATGAGTCTTTTAACAGTCCAACACTTTTCCGGTGTTTAGTTCAACCCAGACCTCAGCTAGTTGATTCCCGGTCAGACCAGCCGGGTTCAGTTTTCAAAACATTGTCAGAACTCAAAAAAATAGATAAGCAAAGAACTAACGAAACTCCCTCTGGCTCTTAAATTTAACAAATGGCGAGACAGGGAAAATAGAATAATACTTGTTCTTTTCAGTCAGAGCTCTAAAAGCCTAAACCCTCTCTAGAAAACAATTCGAAGCCAAATTATAGCTTGAAAGGCAACATTTACGCAGTGACAGAGACACGAGGAGCATCCACAGGTTTAGTACCTCCATTAGCATCAATTCCACCACCACCACGTCTTACACGTCCATTGTTACCATTGGCCCTCGAGAACCCACCACCACCGTCACCATTTGCTGCTCGGTTTGCGTATCCTCCTCCTCTATTGTTTCCCCTGTTATTACCATATCCGTTGAAGTCGGTCCGACCATAGCCGCCTCCTCCTCTTCCACCTCCAAAGCTCCCACGACCTCTTCCACCTTCGTTTCTGTAGCCTGTGCCTACACCAAACGCTGGACGTCCTCTATAGTTCCCTGTTTCAACGACGAATGATAAAACAAACCTGTTAGGTTCAATGAGAGTTTCGTTCCTATTAAGAGTTTAAAAAGGCGAAACTTGCCTCTTGAGGTAGATCGTTTTTCCTCCACAACTACTTTCTGCCCATTGAGTATGATTGGTGATGCCTAAAAAGCCCCAAAACATTTACATATCAGTAACACAGAGCCTTGAAAGATTCAGTACTAATGCCATTGGTTATTAGTTATTACCTCGATTGCGCTTTGCATGGAACTTGCGGATTCAAACTCAATGAAACCAAAACAGAATCCCTGTAGAGCACAATACTCATAAGAATAATTACTGTGCGGATTAACAATAAATATCATTGTTTAAGCAATAATAAAAGATGAGAGCTTTTTCTTACCTTCTGGCTTCTTACTTGGATTCCGTTGGTCTTAATGAGTCCAAACTTCTGAAACTCATTCTCAAGCAAGGTTGGTGTTGCATCAAGGGGCAAGCCCTTTAGATAGATGGATGGACCTAAAGCTGGTACGAAATCAACATAATTATAAATATTGAAGCTGAGCAATGTGACCTAACAAAAAAGAAGCATTGTACCTCTTTCATTATCTTGATCGTTCCCATTTGCAGCTACATTTGCTCCTGAATCTGTTTTCTCAGACAATGGTGTTGGTAGAGGGACATGAATGGCTTGCTCTTCTTGTCTCTTTGGTTCCACCACCTTCGTTGGGGTTTTCGAAGGAGACCTTGGAGCAGCATTCTCTTTCGAAACCCTCACCTACATATCAAGATACGTACACCAATGGCATCAAATCTTGAGGGCAGAGAAGATAATATCTCACATCGGCTTGATAAAGAGTAGACATTACACAACACATATGTATGTTACTTACAATGGATGCATAAGATCTCTTTTGAACTTCGCCAGTCCGAGAATCACTTTCTCCAACCTTCTGCGCATCAATTGGAGCTTCATGAACTATTTCAGGCGCCACAGGTTCTTCAGTAGCTGGTACTTGTTCAACTTCAGAGGGAATGAACACTTCAGACCCATTAATACTCTTGGACAACACATCAGATTGCTCAACAGCATGATTCTCTTGAGCATATTTCTCCTGGGCAAGGTCATCTGGAATGTCTTGAGCAGCAGCTGGATCTAAGGAACAAGAAGAATTACAACACTTAAAAAAACCGAGAACTTAAAATTTTATTAATTTGAAGGAGGCAAATACAAAAGTTAGGTTCAATTTACCCTGGTGAATGTTGACAGGAGCTTGAATGTTATTTGCCGGAACCTGACTTCCATGTACGATTGTGGCTTCATCAATGTATCGGAACATATCATTCAAGACAAAGTATCCTGTCTCCTGTGGAGCAAGGAAGAAAGTCTGAGTAAACGTCCTCCTCACACCATCTTTCCCCGTCAAATACCCAGTCACCAGTACGAGAAAACCACCGCCATAAGATTCTTGTGTGTCCACAGTTGCTATCTCCGCGCCGATTACACCATCACCAAGTTCCATTATCTTCCTGTCAATAGCCTGCTCAAAATATACACATACTCAGTATTCAGCGAAATTCTAAGATCTCCCAACACTTTCTCCATTGAACTTTGATGACACAAACATATCTGGTTTACATCTTGCAATGAAAAGAGCAGGTTGAAACAAAAACAAGTTAGTATACTCACTTGCAAGGTAGAAGTGATGCTCATTATACCATTCTCTTCAGGCCGGCCTAACTTGCTAATCTCTTGGTAAAATCTGTGAACATGCTCAGGAGATTGATGCAATATGTGATAATACTGATGCACAAATGCATTCCCAACCTACAACAACACAGCAAAAATGACAATGTACGTTTAAGAAACTGAAAATCTCATGAAAACAAAAAATCTGTATCTCCTTTGAAAAGTTGGATCATACGATATCTGGAGTACAAGTTGCTGTTGGAACTTGCTGTGCCCCTAACATCGCCATTAGCCTAATTTTCCTCCTGGAAACAAAATCAAGCATCAATAGTTAGGTTCGAACTCGTGATCAGTAAAAATTCCACTCAAATCTCATCTTCTCAGGAAATTGGAGACGAACAACATACGAGAGAGATCTCTGATCTAGACACACAAACTAACTGAAAATCCAATAAAACAAGCGAATTGCAACAATGAAATCAGTTCGCTACTATGTAAAACGATAACAATCGGCGAAAACACGTAATGCGACGAAGATTTGAGAAGAGACGAAGCGAAGTAAGTACAAATCCGAGTTACAGAGAACCGATCTAAGCCGTGGAACTGTTCTAGAATTCAATCGATCAAGTAAAATACTAAAACCACAAGAGTAGAGAAGTAAGCCATTGCTCGAGCAGGTTTCCGAGAAAGAAAAATTGACGGAAGAGAGAAAATAGAGTGTACCTTAGATTCTTCTCGAAGAAAAACAACGATTAACCGGAAAATCGAGAGACGATCCTCCTGTTCACTCTCTCTCACCTAGGAACCTCGCAATGCTATGGCGCTGGTTACGGTTTTACAGGTGAATCTCGAATAGAAGCGAGAGCAAGAGAGAGAGCGACGTGAGAGCAAAAAAAAGAGAGGAAAAAGTGCCTTTTTGTAAAATTATACGTCTCAGATGTTTAGTACTTTTACCGGTTTAATGTTGTTCTTCCGCATGATTTAATTATTTAATTTTCGTAATCTGTATGAAAATTATCTCCAACTACTTTTACATAACTCTACCTAGAAATTCAATAATATAGTTAGGGATAGGAACCAAAAACGTTAACCGAGAAACCCAAACCGAACCAAATTGAAACTGAACCAGCAACAGTTTTTAGTATTACCAAATTGAACCGTACCGAATAAACTGAACTTATCAACAGTTTATTTTATTTTTATATTTTATATATGTAAAATAGATAAAATTTATTAAATAAATGATTATTTGTTTGTACTTTCAATATTTTTTTTTTTTGACAAAAACCGAATAAAACGTTAAATCTGATTTGCATCAAACTTGAACTAAATTACAAATGGCCTTACATGGATTCACTTTTTATAGAACTGAAACCAAATCTAACCATAAACCGGTTAGGTTCTTGTCAAAGATCTCTCTAATGCGGTGGTTAGATTTTTTTCGTTGTAGTTTGTACGATCTGAACTAAAATTCGTCTCTCTACAAAATATTATATAGTTTGTTAAAACAAAAAAAAAAAAAAAAAGAACCCATTCTTGGCCATTTTGATACTCCTCAACTTTTCTACGTACAGATTCTTAAACAACAAAAAAAGCAGGAAAAGGAAGAAAGAAACCTGTCTAGATTATTTTGAGCATCTATTTTGGTTAAGGTTGCTTAAGTTGACAAAAAAAAAAAAATAACAAAACAAAATGTATCGGTTCATCTGTACCGATCTAAACCGGCATCTTCAGTACGAGCTGACCCTCCATAACACTGCAACGAATAGTAAAACACATCAACAACATTGCCAAATCCCTAACTAATCGTTACAACAAATTTAATCATTTATGCATTAGGCTCACAAAGTCAGAATAAATCGATTACCTTTTGACATAGTAGTAGCAGAAGTCGGCAAGGATGAAGGTTTGAACGATTTCGGCTATTAGAGCCACCGGGAACCAAAAGTAACCAGCCCCGATAAGCCATAGGTAATGTCCACGAGTCTCAAAGACCTACATTTTTAGACCATTAGTGTCTTGAACTTAACAACCATAAAAGCTTAATGATTGATAATAAGGAAGAAGAACTTTACCTGGATAAGCCAATGAGCGCATGCCAAGAACCTAGCAATTCCCAGCGCAAACACGTAATGAGCTGTGAAAGGCTCTATGATCTGAAATGATTGTTCAAGAAAATGTTAAACTTGTTTTTCTAAGATCGAACACAAGGAAAGAAAAAATAGCGGATTTCATATCTTGTTAGCAATAGTAAGGCTTAAATCATCGTCAATTTCTTTAAATGTATTTTACTTAATACATGACACATATATTTGCTTATATAATAATTTGTTTTTTCAAATTTTTCTACTCTAACTTTGTAATTTCGATTTGAAATGAATGAAATTATTTGCCGGAAAAAAGATTAATCTTGCACCTAACTCTAGATTAATCCTGAAATCTATAGAAAAGCTGGACTTTCTTGTCACTTGAAACATCTACATTGGCTGGCCAACATCTAAATGTATAGTGCATAAGACTCCATCCAAAGTATTGACCAACATGACGAATGCTCATCCACTAGACCATCATAGTTGGTTAAAATGCTAAGTGCCTAAGTCTACAACTGGCAGATATAATTCATCATAAAGATATATAGACATATGTCGGCTTACTTGCGCATTCTGCATTAACCGAAGCTGAGGCAGAACAGAGACAGATTCTGAGTAAACGCAAAACGCCCACATGACACGGTGGATGTAATTATAGCTCGTATTCGGGTGTATAATCAACGCAAGGATAGCAGATGGTATAAGCTAACAAAAACAAAAAGAGACAAACATGTTATATAATCAAAGTGAGAGGACAAACAAACAAACAAATCACATTCTTATAATCAAAAGCCTTTACCACATAGTAGTTGTGACAATTGTCGAGATTCTTTATATAAGATGATTTCAGCTTGAACCGAATCATATAAATGACCCATAGAGTCGAAACCAAGGTGGCGAAATCAAGAACTGTATGTATATCACCTTCCATGTTTATGCTGCATATCAATCTCACAGCTAGAAACACTGCTGTTACTTCTTGAGACTTTAGAGAAAGACCTAATCACACCAAAACCTAATTATAAGATTCCAAAACATTGATATATTTACACAAATACCACTCAAATATCTATGATTCAGACATAAGTAATATGATACGGTCGGATTATTTTTACCGGAGCAAGTCTTTTGTCGGGTGAGTTTGTAGATGAGGATTAAGATTCCGGCGGCATGGATGAGCTCGGAGGCGACGAAAAAGTGGTTGTGATTCTTGACGGTGATTTTTAAGAACACGACGAGGATCAGAGAGAGGATTATCCCTAAAGCTATCTTAACCTTGTTTGATTGCTGTCTTAGCCACCCGAAAATCACGTTCACGGCGGAGACGCCTCTTCTCTTCCCCATATTTTGATTTTGATCGGAGATTATCGACTCTCTCTCTCTCTCTCTCTTTTCTCTCTTTTTCTCTCTTTCTCTGTGTTTTTGTGTGTTTCAGAGCTTTAATGCGACGTTCCTGAAATCGAAGGATACGTTTTGTTGAGTGAGCGGAGACACGACGAGGGCATGCGGCCGATGACGTGGCGATTTATTTTTCTGATCTGATCACCGAATCAGATTATGACACGTGTGGTTGATGGTGTTTTATTTTGGTATTAAATCTGGAAATAAAGTTATGTATTTGACTATTTGATTGCCCGTTTTGTAAGATTATTCATTATTATTGGAATAACTTAGAGGCCAAAATCAGAAAATGAAAATTTAAAATCAGAATCGTGGACCATGAAAAATGTTTAAGTTTTGTTTTCTTCCTAATTTGGATACTCAGATTGAATTTCCTAAATTGCTTTTTTTTTTTAACATCAACTAATTATATAATTAAATAAGTTGGATATTGTATTTTTTTCTGTTTTCATTTTAAATCTGTGAACATCAATATATAGAAAACTATCTATTGAAACAGAAAATTAAATAAACTAAAATTTTTTTATTGGATAACTAGAAAGTTCTGGATAGATAGGCCTTTTATATTTGTATATATCATAACAACCTTTTGGATTACATCAATATACTTTTTAATCAAGCTATCAAATTAAAAATTAGTTTTCAAGTTCATGTAATCTATGATGTTTTACGATTCAGCTTTTTGTTCACAGAAACTAAACTCAAATAGATTTATCTATAATCTAATTTATGATTTGGCTTAAATTCAAATTCACTCAATATTTATAAAAAAAAATTTGATTAGTATCATAAATATTTAATATGATTTTAGTTATTTCAATTCAGAGTGTAATTCGAAAAAGCGATCTATGTATATTTTTAACTTCTATGTTGCGTTCACTATATTTCATTATAAGTGTGGTTTTTAGATTTTTTTAATGAGAAAATGGTCATTTAAATCCTCAACTTTCAAATTCGGCCAATTTAATCACGCCTGGACTGTTTAAATCTTCAACTTTTGTTGACTTTTATTTAAATCATGTACATTATTTGACTCGGCCAAATTAAGTCCAACGTCAACTTCATTAATGGACTAGTTTAACAGGGTCAAATCCTCGTTTAGTCTTCCGTTAAATCAAAACGACGCATTTCCTCAAATCCTAAAAATCCCCAAATCAAATGCCTTTGAACGCTAACTTCTAAAATCGATTTCCCCCAAAATAGAAATCGATTTCTCTCTGTCAATCGATTATTCCATCAAAGATAGAAATCGATTCTTCCTGGTCGATTCTTGTCTGTTTTCATATTCCAATGAATTCGACTTTTGAACAATGTGGTGCCGTGAACCGTGGATTGCCTTCGAAGTGTGTTTTTGGATTAGATATAATGATCTTGACTTCGAAGACACAAGACAATCCAGATAGACCTTTCTACCGTTGCGTAAGAAACAAAAGAGTTAAGCCTTTGTTCAGTTGATAGCTGTTTATGTCTTTATACAAAAAGATTATCAATTGATATCAAAAAAAAAAATTATAGCCATCATACTTGTTTATGCAATAAGGACATTTGTTTAACTGGGTTGAGGATGCTGTGTTTGAAGAGGTAGAAGAGCAGTTACTTAAACTAGGAAACATTGAAAGTGAGCTTAGCAATGCCAAGTCCGATGTTGAGGAGCTGAAGGCTTCGATTGAAGTATTGAAGGAAGATATGGGATGGATCAAAACGGAAACCCATAAATGGAAAACAATGAGCACATTTTGTTTTGTGTGTCTTTGCCTCATGACCATTGTCATTCTTTACGTGGTGGTTGTTAAGGCTAAGGAAACAAAATTTGTTTCTAGTTACTAGTGTAAGGAGAATGGTTTTTTTTTTTTTAACTCAAAAACAACTTCATTGCACTAAGGATTACATATTTGTTACACTGTAATCATTCTCAACATAAGATTTGATCCAAAAGGGCAGAAGAGAATATAACTTAGGGACATAATTCAAAAAAGAAAGAGCATCATTTGCTATTCTGTCTGCAACGATATTTCCTTCCCAAGGAGAATGGTTTATGTAAGTTCTATGTGTGCCTCTGTATGAGTTTCTCTTTGTTTTCTGACTTTGTGAAAGTATTCCATAACTTTTTCCTTTGTTTGAAAATGTGTTCAATCTGATTTTGATTGAATATCTTAGATTCTACATTTACAAAGTACACATGTTTAGTGATTCAATAAAGAACATGATTCTTATGATTGTCAAAGAGAAGAAAAACCTGTTCACCAAATAGATTGTAAAAGATAAAACATGATTGTCAAAGAGAAAACATAATTGTCAAAAAACAAAAGATGATTGTCAATGACCAACATTGTTCAGAATCCGATACCAAAAACTAACAAAAGGTTCAAAACTATTATCTGATACATAAGATAACCAAAACAACAAAGTGATCCGATACATTTAAAAACTTAAAAACCAGGTTCACAAACTAGAGATCACCACCTTGTCCCTGCGAACACCTAAACCAACGTGCCCAACCTTGAGATGCTTGAGCCCCTGTTTGTGATCCGTGAGACTCGGTTTAGGAGCCATGAGCTTGTTCTTAGGAGCCTTGAGCTTCTCTGGGAACCATGAGCTTCTGGTTGGGAACCATGAGCTTGACTTTGTGAACCATGAGCTTGTATTTGTGAACCCTGAACTTGTCTCTGATACTCGTGAGCTTGTCTCTGTGATGTTTTTGGTGCTTGTGGAGCTTGTGAAACTCTTGGTGCTTGTGAAACTTGTTAAGGTCTTTGTGCTTGTGAAGCTCTTGGTTCTGAAGCGCCTTCAAATGATGCTTCCTGATTCACATCGAAAACATAAATGAGAAGAGGAAATTCATCAATCAAATTGGATTCCACAATTGAAAAAACTCACAAACCTGATATTTTCTTGGTCGATCCCTTGGTTTTTTTAGAGGAGGTTCAACCCTTGGATCTTGACATCCTTGCTTGTTGTGTCCATCCTGCAAACAGTTGGAACAGGTTATCGCCCATAATGCATGTGACAGCTTCGTTGTAGTTGAGGAAGATGCAGCCTCATATCTTTCCCTCTTCCTTGCATTATTGTTTAGCCTGCCATGGTTGCCTTTTCTCCAAGGTGGCGGTAAGACAGGCAACCTTTCCAATCTAAGCCACAATTTCATGCCTTGAACAGGTCTGATACCTTCCATATATGTTTCCTTCCACATTTGTTTTGTGTAAAAGTCATGCACAAAGTCTTCAACCTTTCATTTCTTTGCTATTATAACACATGCAGCATGAACACAAGGTATTCCAATCATCTGTCACTTCCTGCAGCCACACGTATATGTATTCATATCCATATAATTCAACCTCATGGAGGTCATTCCTAGACATGTGTCTGATGCAATGTTGCGACCTTGCAATTATTTTTCTATCTCTGCATGACCTCTCTTGGTAAATCTTGTCTTCAACCTATCCGCAAGAATATCTCTCTCCTCATTACGGATCATACATTGTCAACTGATGTCTTCTAACAAATCCAACAAAAGTTTTTTCCTTGCTTGGCGACTGGTTTGTTAAATGACTCACTCAGATTGTTCGAAATGTCATTACAATAAGAACCTATCCTGAAGTAAGCCCTAGACCATGTTTGAGGATTAGTTTTTAGAAGACAAGCAGCATGAGGATTGTACCTTGTCAATGCTTCCATATGTTCAGTAAATTCTCCCATGGTGTAGCTGCAGGCTATCTTCCAAAACAGACTTTGGAGCTCTCTATCATGTCTGTCTTTCTTCCAATTATCCATCATGTGTCTAACACACTGCCTATGTTCAGCTTCTGGAAGAATATTCTTCACAGCATTGACAAGACCCTGCAAATCATACAAAAAAGCTTCAAATAAGTTACCATTGTCTAATTTGACATAACAAGGGGACAAAAAAGCATAAAACTATATCCTCTTCTTATCTGATATGATTGCAACACTTCTTCCATCACCAAGATTCAGACTTCGAGAGAGTTGCTCAACAAACCATGCCCAGTTCGGATCATTCTCCACTTCGACTACTGCCCATGCAATTGGGACAATTCTATTATCTGCATCTCTTCCCACAGCAGCCAAAAGATGGCTTTTTATATCCCATGTCAAAAATGCACCATCCAATCCAATGATCGATCTACATGTAGCTTTCTAAGACTCTCGTTGTGAGTGAAAACAAACATAACACCTAAAAACCTTTGCTTGCTACCAATTGTCGGCCCTGGAATAGTCTCAATCTCAAACTTGGTATGGTCATTCGATCTAAAAACTTCTGCTTGGTAATCCCATACGCGTGTGAAATGAGCTTCATGACTAGCTTTTATTTCCTTCATCACTTTTGTTTTTGCCTTAGCACATTGGTCTTCAGATACAACCAAAATTATATACATTTTTGATGTCATCAGCCATCTCTTGTTTAGTCAGCTTTGGATTTACTCTTAATCTTTCCGAGTATAGCCAGAAAATTGTTGATACCTTCAACATCTTAATGTAACCCGATCTCAAACAACAATGCTTATTTATGAACACCTTAATCTGCATCTTATTTTTTCTCTTCTCATAAGAACAATACACTCTCCATGGAAAGCCAACTTCAGTATCAAAGCACTTCGCACCAACTTTCATATAATTTGATTTGTAGATTGTGATGTCATATCGAGTTTTGAGTGACTACCTTAACACTGCAATCTTGAAATCCTCTAGAGTGTTGAAAGTTTTTCTCAATGCTAGTAGTTCCTCAGGTTCTTTGCGATCTCTCAGCCTTTGCATTTGTTCTGCCTGCTCATCGTCGTCTTCCTTGGAATCAGATGACAAGAGATCGGGGATCTTATCATCATCCCATATATTTTCTCCACTATCTGCATCACTCCTAGCTTCTAAATCTCTCGCTGCCTCTCCAAAATATTATACTAAATCTTGGCATTGTTTTCTGGTATAGCTTCTTCATCTTCTCCTTCTTCTTCTCCTTTTACTCCTGCTGCGTTTTCATCTCCTTTTTCACCAGCAACTTCATC